CCGGACATGTATCCTACCTGTGGTCTAATCGCCCTTAGATCCCCCTTTCCCAGTTAGCTAGTCCCTCCCTTACCCTATTTACTCGCCCTCTTTCCTTTTCCTCTTTGCTCTATCGCTTCTACCTTCCCACAGTGCTGTATTACCTTTGGTGACGAGCACATTTCTTTGGCCTGTTACTACCTATTAACCATCAACTCAACAAATTAAGCATCTAAATATTTTGAAGTCTAATCGGAATTGGTGAACAATTCCTCCGGAATCAGCGGAGCTTTGCTGGCCAGCTAGATAATAGCATAGATAATATAATTTCCTACTTCTACAGAAAGTGTTGTACCCGAAGACGAAAGGTGATGCGATGTCTCACGACAGTTACTTCTGCCAGCAATTCCCAGATGGTTTCAGACCTTTCCCGATCCAGCGTGAGAACGGACATTACTTAGGGAATTACATGTGAGCTCACCATTCACCACTTTTTCATCTCATGCTTTAGATGGACGATAGGCCCCAGCCTGTCGCCCCCTTTTATATGGGGCAACGTAGGAGGTGGCAGAGGTGACGTTTGTCCGGAGCAACTGCCCGAGGTTTAACCTCTAGCGAGCTTTTCAGGTGGGAGCTTGGAACATCTGGTCTTTGCGGCAGGAAGAGAGATTACTCCTGCTATCGAGGCACGGTCAGTATGGGTGGGCACACCTACTACTGGCGGGCGAGGCGATGGCCATCATCTCCAGAAAGTAGCCATAGCCATCTACAGCCGACTTCAACCTTCGGTAGAGTGTCTGATTGATGAGTGTATTGAGACTGAAGCACGCTTTTGGCCTTGTCTCTTATTGCTGTGTACGTTCCTACACATGTATGTAAACTTGATCTGGAAGAGGCGTTCTATGCCAAACTCACACTTATGGAGGACAAATGCCCACAGCGAGACATTCGAATTGTACTGGGCGACTTCAATGCGGTATCTAGTTCTGATTGAGCTGGCTACAAGATGTCTGTCGGTCCCCACGGCTCGGAAGCTGATCTCGGAAGCGAGAACAGCCTCCTTCTCTGGGACTTTGCTAGGTCCCAGAGAATGAGGATTTCTGGCTCCTGGTCTCAACGCTCCAACCCGCATCGCTGGACTTGGTACAGCGATATGGGTATTGTGGCCAAGGAGATCGACCACATCCTTGTTAGCACTCACTGGAGGATCCTTCAGAACTGCAGGGTTTACAGGAATGCCGAGTTCTGTGGTACTGACCATGGATTGGTAGCGGCCCTGCAAGTTCACTTCAAATTCCACCCTGTTTCTCCAGTGGCCACTCTAGGCTGTTTCACCTGGACAGATTGGAGGAAGAGGAGTGTGTGCATAGGTTCGCTGCAGCAATCTATGATCAGTTGACAGTGCTTGAAAAGCTGACAAACCCGGTAGCCCTATGGGATTCCTTTAAGCATAAAACACTCGATACAGCCCAGGAGGCTATTGGTGAATGCCCCAGGACATGGTAGAATTTCATCTTGCTGGAGACGGAGGCCACAGATGCATGTTGCATGGCTCGTCTGAGTGGCAATTGGGATTTGCACCATTCCTTGGTGTGCAGGGCTTGGACTCTGCTGAGGAGGGATAAGGAACAGTTCATCAGAATCTTGCCGAGGAGGCTGAAAGCCATTCCTAGTAAATGACCTTCGTCCTGCCCACCAAGCCCTGAGAACACTCCAATCCCTCCTCACGGATGTCTGCAGTCTGCTCAGTGGATGGACGGATCACCAGATCATGTTGGGTTTGTGAACGTTGGGCTGAGTATTTTGAACAATTATAACAGGTAGACCCCCCAGCAGTTAGTCAATCCCTGTTCCTGACCCACCTCTCTCTAAGCTGAAGGGAGAGAAAGCTGCAGGCATATGCGATATCTCTGCTGAAATGCTAAAGGCCGGGGGGGACCTATGGCACAGGGCTTGCATGCTGTCCTGGCTGCCATCAGGCAGTCCGGTTCCATTCCTCCTGACCTGTTTGAGGGGCGTGTTCATCCCTCTCTGGAAGGGAAAGGGGACCGCTGGGACTAGCAACTACCATGGCATCACATTACTCAGGCAAGGATTTCGCCCACATTCTTCTGAAGCGGATCCGCAAGCACCCTTTAAGGCACCAAAGACCGGAGCAATTTCATGTTATTGTAGACCGTCCCCGTGAGTTTGGTCGTGGGCTGCTCACAGCGTACATCGACCTCAAGACGGTGTTTGATTTGGTGCATCCTGAGACGGATTAGTGGATTAACAGCAAGTCTATATTCTGGTAATGAAAGTGCTGTAATGTGTGGTGTGGGCCTGTCGAGTTTCTTCCCTGTTAACTCAGGAGTGAGGCATGGCTGTGTCCTTGCACCAACACTTCTCAGCACTTGCATGGACTGGATAATGGGCAAAGCTACCTTCCAAAGTCAGTGTAGAGCAACATTGGGCAAAATCAAGGTCACGGACCTTGACTTTGCTGACGACATTGCAATTCTATCTGGAATCTCTGGTAGTGGCTCTTGGTGCATTTAGCAATGAGGCGAAGCCCCTGAGCTTGCAGGTCTCCTGGACTAAGACCAAGATTCAAGATTTTGGGGCCTGCTAGGAGAACCCATTCGTTTCCCTGTGGATGACCCTGTCCATCAGGTTGTCTCTACAGGAGACAAGCCTGCGTGGGGGAGGCCTGTGGAAAGACCTAGGATGTGGCTTGGGCAGCTCGACCAGACTTGTCGTTAGGAACTAGAGATGGGCCGAGGGCCTGCCTGACGACCCGCCATGAGGGAAGGTTGGATGCGGCTATGCTCGCCATGAGTTCACTATTCTCCCCCCTTTCATCTCATATTTTATAGTTTCCTAAAAGAGTGATGTTAGGATATAAGCTGTTTCGTTGGAAATCAGCAGTATTTTGCCAGTTCGAAACGAATGCTTATTTTCAATTTCATTATTATGATCAGTTATATTTTTGAATGGGACAAGTTTAACAAATACTTATCCATTCTACCATTTTATTAAACCTGTAAAACATGTTATGTGCAAAATAATGCTGGAATAAGTGAAATATATTGTAATATACCAATGCGACAGTAAGTATTTGATGTAGTTTTATAGTCGCAACAAAACGCAAGGTCGTCGAAATGTGTTTTGACAAGAGATTTGAATAGATTTTTTTTTTAAATCTTTATTTTACGTTTTCAAAAATCCATAGAATTAATTAAATCATTTAAATGGCTGACATGATTTTTCTTTAGCAGCATGAAATGAAATGGAAATAATATCGGTCTGTGATTCATTGTTACCGGTTGCTGAAACTTTCAAAATGGTTATCTCAGATTGAGACAAATGAGTTCTTTCATTATTTTGCTTTTATTTCCATTATTCTTCGTGCAGAAAATAGCAGTAGCGTTGCTTGAAGCTTTCCACAATCGTATCCACTGCGAGTGAGGTCCATGTTTACATACAGTCCGAATCCCACGCAACCGGATAATTCTAATGACCAAAGGCATTTAATAGTCTTAGTGACTGTAATATATCAACAAATCAAGCTGTGCAGCCTTTAACGTGATATTTTGAATGTGTTAGGTTAAATCACTGCGATACAGACTGATTTCCAGGATATTCTACCCACCGAAGATAGTGCCCTTCCACATGATTCGGACACGCTATTTTTTTCCCCCATTTTTCAGAGATTCTCATTAAAATGGCGCAGTCGCATTTTATTCCTATGAATACCTTATCGAAAGGCATACGATACGATTCGTAATTAATGAAAATACAAGTTCATGAGGCTCTGTATTTTTGATATAAGATATAAGCGAAGACATAAAAATACATCTCTTGTTCAGTGAAAAATCTTAATTTTCATTCTTACATTTTTCAACATTTGTCATAATGTATAAATCAGATATATTGTAATTAAAATTACGCATATGTTGATTAGGCTTCTGTTGATTGAACTTTCTTAAATAATATTAATTCATACGGAATAGAATGCGAAATCTTAGTTTACGCAGTAGATTCAGGATTATCGTTAAGCGCGTTTGAAAATTGTTATTCATTTTACGGGTGAGAGCCGAAGAAAATTGAAGAAATGAAAGTTGAAATTCCCACGAGAGGGAAGGGGTTAGATTAGAAATATCAGCAAAAATGAATGAACAGTTGCAACAGCGAAGGGATTGTATTTTTTTTTTTTTTTTTGATGTGGTAAAATAACAACAATGGGTTGCGTATCAGTGTGTGACAATGCACATGCATCCATATTTCTTGTCTGTATGTATCGTATCTATATGTGACGAGAATGTATGTAAAACAAAAACATTGATTTTATATTGATATCTGATGTACTTGAACCTTAATTATCTATTCTTTCTCTATGGATTTCAGGGGCAGCCCAGACCAGGATCCTCTGTTTGTTAATCAGCCCTGCCCAGTGGCCTGCCGTCCAACGGATCATCAGAACTGGACCTACTGCTAACTATTGCCGCTAAAGACCTTGGTTGATAATGTTAAATAATCAGTTACTGCTGACTCAATCTTTCGTTAGTAATGACCCATTGCACTCTTTAGTGAAGGATTTCGTGTTGTTATCAATATCAGTGCGTTGATATTGATTCGTGTTTTATTGTTGTAAGCATCTCTACTTAGGAAGAAGGTCCAGTGAGCGATTTATTGTCTTGTTGGTCGAGTGGATAGTGAAAGTTTGGCGAAGGGCAGTGCTGGCGTCCTCCGGCTCTTCAAAATACGGGTCGCGATTCAGTGCTGGGTCAGTGGAGCGCCACTTAATTATCATCATGATACATAACATTTTTCATATGTGTGTGTGTGTGTGTGTGTGTGTGTGTGTGTGTGTGTGTGTGTGTGTGTGTGTGTGTGTGTGTGTGTGAATAAGATCAATTTCTATCGTGTAGGATATATGAAAACGAAAATAATCAGTTTTCCTTTATACAGGACATAGAAATCAAATTATTAGTTTTCATTTATGCAGGATGTTGAAATATTAGCTCCATGATAACAATGGAGCTAATTATGAATGTAAAGTGTTTATATGATTATAGTCTGTAATATCAGTGTTCAGGATAATTGTTTACAACTAGATAATCATAGTAGCCACACTTTTGTTTTGTTTGTTTGCTATCTCTGTTTTGTTGAAGTTTTGGTGTTATTGCTCTTGGAATCACTGGCAATGAGCTAAAGGACGCTCAGACAAGCTCCGCCCATTTGTCCACACCAAACTCGTTTCCAACATGTTCCGGCCACTGGTTATTACCCTCGCTTTAAGACTTCCCTCTTTGGTCGCTGGTAGTCTTTCTCTGGCCAGGTCTTCCGGCCATTGGATTATACGCTGTAATACTTTTCGCCTCAAAGAGTGCATTACCTCCATCAAGGGAATAGGGTCACTCATGCAATAAAGATATTTGCACTTGAAGAATTGCATTAAAATCACCTCTTTCTCAAGTGCATTGGTGTCCATAAAAGTGCCTGGATCCGGGTCATGATCCGAATCGACACCAAAACTTAATGTCATCTAAGTTAGGCTAAGACACAATTCTGGTAAAAAAAAAAAAAAAAAAAAAAAAAAAAAAAATGGTTAATAACTTTTTGCGCTGTCCTGTTAACCTACTTCGATCCGGGTCATGATCTGGATCACCAAAGTTTAATGGGATCTTGCTTGGCAAAGACACACTACTGATAAAATTTTAATTAAAAATCTGTTCATAGCCTTCTGCGTTGTCCTGCTAACCAAGTGACCAACGCTACCAAAAACATGACCTTGTCGGAGGTAACAAATGAAAAATAGTGTTAAGAACGATGAAAATAACAGCAATAAACATAATAATAATAATAAAAAATAACCATAATAATATATCAGTGATATAATGAAACATTAATAGTTCTAACTGTAATCATTTGTTGATTATGATAACGATAATAATGGCAATGATAATAACTTTAATGACGAAACAACTGTCATTCATGATAAATATGATTATAAGTTATGATAATGGTAATAACTACAATTTCCATTTTGCTTCATAAATCTACTCTTTCATTAATTGTCATTCAATACCTTTTCTTTTCGTTTTTTGTACACATTAGAAATAAAGATATATTGTATACTGCTTCGAGCAAAGGATAAACTATTTTCGTGGTCGTAGATAAATGTATTTTTCAAAATGGTAATGACAAGTATACAGATAATACTAACAGCCATAATGACAACAATGGTAATGGCTTTTGCGGTACGTGGAGAATTTATATATATATATATATATTATAATATATATATATATATATATATATATATATATATATATATATATTTATATATACACTGTATATATATAACTGTGTATTTGTGGATATATGTTTATATATACATATATAATATTCATACATACATACGATAATAATGATAATAATGACCATGAAAATGATGATGATACTGAAAATGACAATATAGTATTAGCAATAATGATATTAAATAATAATCCTAATTATAGGATGAATATTAATGTAATAACAGGAATGGTAACGATGATAATGATAATACTTGCACCAACAAAATGCATGAGTAGGATGATAATTGCTAATGATTAACAGAAGCTAATGCATGACAATTTGAATGATTACAAAAATAAACATGAATAAGAATTACGAGATTACGTAAAAAAAAAAAAACAGTAAGGAAAAGAAAACAAGCAATATAGTGAATAAAGATGCAATAAAAACGAAAAAGGGCAAAGGGTACGTGACAAGCCAAGAATCGAGACAGATCAAGCCAACAATAGGACTTTGGAGAATTTGGTAACAATGAGAAAAATGATGGCTTGAGATATAGAAATATTTGGCAAAATCGATGGTATGTATTACAAAAAGCAGAGGAACTAAATTAGAAACTTAATTTTAAACATATACAGAGTATTTTCCCATGGATTATCAATTTCTTTAACATAAATCATTGGCACTGAAGTACAGATCTTCAGCAAGTAATTTTACACAATCAGTGAAATTGCTACTAGAATACATAGTTTCAAATTCAGCAAATGACTGAATATTAGATTTATAAGAAAAAAAAAAAAGAAAAACAAATATAAGTACAAAATTACAGTTTAAGTAAAAAAAAAAAAACAGAGTTTAAGTATTAAAGTACAACATTTGAAGTACAAAAATACAACTTTAAGTAAAATACAAATACAATTTGCAAATTAGCTTTATCTCAAAACAAGTAAAAATGATTAAATAAAGTAATTGCCACAGAACAATTGGATTCTTTAATTATAATTATACACTGATATGATACATAAAAACATACAATGCTTAAAATCAAAGACTGCAATTACTACAGAATACAAAGAGAACAATAATGCAAAATTTCAAATTCTGTAATATGGAATTACAAATTGCCTATGCTTTAATGCAAGGAAAGAACAATGAATACTTTGTTACAAGGGAACCAAACTGATATCTGTGAATTAAATAAAACTGATTCACAAATCACTAAGAACGGGATTAGCTTCACTAACGTCAACAGGAATGTCCAAAACATTTTGTGCTTCATTAGAAACAGTTGAAGCACGAGAATCATTTCCTGCATTTCCAGGTGAAAGGGTAAGAACAAGGATTTTTGAAACCTCTTCATCTCCTTCTTGACCTATATTTGGAGCGGTAATTTTAGGAGTAGAAGCAGAGTCATCCTGGACTATAGGAGGATTTCACCTTCAGATCCTAATGTAGGAGCAACAAAGGCGTCATAAGAGTCAATCTCAGAATCACTGGATTCCTTAGAATCAACAATTTCTAGATCATACAAAAGCTGGACTGGCTTTGTATAAACCCTTGGCAGTTTTAACACTAACACGTTCCATCACTGCCAGGGACAATGTTTCCACGACAACACCTAAAGGCCATTTAACCCTAGAAACATTGTCATCACTAATCATCATAACAGTGACCTTCTTTATGTTACAATTAGCCTCAATTTTTTTTAACAGGAGAAGGCAGATTCATGAGATAATCCTCATTCTAATTGCTCGAATAATTTCGAAAAATCGTAAATGAAAACGGAGTTACATGGGAGGATAAATATTGTATGCGATCGAGTGCCAACAAGAATATTTATGGTGCGAGCAACAACCATAGTTTTCGTTTTTAATAACGATATTCCGAAGTGACAATAATTGATTGTTATTCATGTTTGTTTTTTTTAAATATTGGTGGACCTTGCTTTGTTTTGTTGCATTAATTATGTTGTGATTCACATATCTGCAACAAAGAAAATTGGTTGCGAGCAAAAATGATCATATCAGCAACTCAAGATGGTCACTGAGGATTTGTATGTTATCCAATCTGGTGCTTTATTTGCCATACATATTTTCTATAAATGATATATAATGCCCAATGATTCCTCTCCTCTACATTAGGTATATTAGCCCTCATTTCCAATGACAAAAAAATTGTTAGGATGCTAGAAAGTGCCACAAATTTCATTCGCGTTGCTATTGCCTGTCGCGACAGCAACTAACGAAAGACTGAGTCAGCAGTAACGGATTATTTAACATTATCTGCCACGTCTACAACTAAGGTCTTCAGCGGCGATGGTTAGCAGTAGGTCCAGTCCTGATGATCCTTTGGACGGCAGGCCACTGGACAGGGTTGATTAGCAAACATAGGGTCGATCTCTACATCCCTGAAATCCAAAGAGACATTAAATAAAATACCTTTCATTCCCTCATTGAGTGCATGGAGGTATTAATAACAGTGGGTATACTTAATTCCTTCAAGGTGAGTACAAAATACAGGCGTTTGGCTTGACTTCCACTGCGAGCAATTCCACTTGAGAATTATTCATGGATAAACATAATCGCCCACTCTTATCCACAGAGCTATTTTGATGATTATCCAATGAAAATATAACCATTAATATCATTATTTACAAGATTTTATGAAAACTGAGAAGGCCAAAATAATCACAAAACATCCGTAACTTTTGTGACGCCATCAAAGTAAACAGACGCCATGACACCTCGAGTTGCTACTGATCTAGCCTTCCTCCTCGAGTTGCTACTGATCTATCCTTCCCCGTGTTTGCATGCTTTCGTTTATATCTTATATCAGAAATACAGGGCCTCATGGACTAATATTTTCATTAATCACAAATCGTGTCATACGTCTCTTGATATGGTATTCATGTACGGAGATGAATAAAATGCGACTGCGCCATTTAAGCCGTATCATTAAATTAAACGGTCAGTCTATACGAGAAATATCTGAAGTTAATAATGAGAATCTCATGTGGGATTGCACTAACTTCGGTGAGTAGACTATCTTGAAAATCGTTCTGTATCGCAATAACCTAACCTAATAGAATCAAAGTATCACAATAAAGGCTGTACATCATGATTTGTCGATATAATATAGGCACTAAGACTAGTAAGTGCCTATGACCATTGGAATTGTTCGGTGGTGTGAGATTCGGACTGTATATAAGCATGGTCCTGAAAGGAAATAAGAAAATCTGATATGTATGAATCGGAGAAACACAAATTTTAAAGTTTCCATAATCGGTAACAATAAATCACAGACTGATCTTAATTCAAGTTTCCAAACTTCTTTGCTTCTAAAGGAAAATCATATCAGCCATTTAAATTATTTAATAATTTCTATGGATCTTTAAGATGTAGATTTTTTTTTTCTTTTTAGATTTTTTATCTCAAATCACATTTCGATGACCTCGCGTTTTGTTGCGACTATAAAACTACATCAAATGATGTATCAAAGTGTTTGGGGTTTTGGAATTAAAAAGTCAAATCAGACGTTTTTCGGTTAGATGCTGTTGCACTATTACTGGCCATTGATGTGGTGCAATAAATTATTTTGTACATATGTCTTGCCAGTTTAATACAGTGGTAGATTGGATAAGTATTCGTTAAAACTTCTGCCTTGCCATTAAAATAAATAACGGATCACAACAATGAGATTAAAAATAAAAAAATGCTGCTGATTTCCAAAGAAAACGCCATACATTCCGACACATTTTTGGGACAACTATAAAATATGAAAAGAAAAGGTGGTGAATGGTGAACCCACATGACATTCCCTATGAAATGGCCGTTCTCACGCTGGATCGGGAAAGGTCTGAAGCCATCTGGGAAGCGCTGGCAGAAGTAACTGTCGTGGGACATCGCATCACCTTTCGTCTTCGGGTACAACACTTTCTGTAGAAGTAGGAAATTTTATATTCTATGCTACTTCTAGCTGGCCAGCAAAGCTCCGCTGATTCCGGAGGAATTGTTCACAATTCCGATTAGACTTTCAGAAAATATTTAGATGCTGAGTTTGTTGAGTTGATGGTTAATAGGTAGTAACAGGCCAAAGAAATGTGCTCGTCACCAAAGGTAATACAGCACTGTGGGAAGGTAGAAGCGGAAGAGCAAAGAGGCGTAAAAGGAAAGAGGGCGAGTAAATAGGGTAAGGGAGGGACTAGCTAACTGGGAAAGGGGGATCTAAGGGCGATTAGACCACAGGGAGGATACATGTCCGGGAGATATATCAGCGTAGAACTATCACGAGACAACCAGCGAGTGTTAAGGTTATGAACAGGCGTCGGAGAAGTAGGAGGCGGAAACTTCGGGGAAGGAGACAAGGGATCGGGAGGTATGTCGGGGGGGGGGGGTCTAGGACAAAAGGAGCCACGTGTATGCCGTGGGAGTGGAAGGGAGGACGGGGAAGGAAGGAGATGGGTACGTTGGGAGGAATGGGTGTAAGGGGATATATGAGAAAGAGGCTGGATGTCGCCAATCGTGTTTTAAGTCTTCTACTAATGATTTTGTTATTTTTATATGTAACGGGTCATTTTGAGAATGAAATGCATCTTATTTGATTTTATTTTGTATTGAAAAAGGATTCAATGTGTTCCTGGAGGCCCCAGAACGGAGACTAATAAACAGTGTCAACTGGAACTTTGTTTGTGTCGCATCCCCCTCTGCATATCTTCGTAAAGGTTGTACTGGCTCCTGTTACGTGCCAAGGTTTGAATAAGTCTGGACGTGGTATATAAGCATTACCGAAGGCAAGACAAGAATATGCAGGGTAAATTAAGCAGAAATGAAGTCCAAACGGAGTCATGCAAGTACTCTTGTTGACCGAGTTCGTGGCTCCTGCTGCCAGACCAATCCATCCACTGACTTCTTGGTCTGAAAGCCCCAGAGACATGGCCTGCGCTACAAGGTAAATATATATATATATATATATATATATATATATATATATATATATATATATATATATATATAATATATATAAATATATATATATATATATATACATACATATATATGTGTGTGTGTGTTTGTGTGTATGCCTGTGAGTGCAAAAGCTTACCGCTAAGATATGTTGATCAAAACCTTGTGAAATTTCCCTCTGGCTTCTTCTATCAGTGTGCTTCTAATTGTAGCAAGCTCATTCCTGAATTCTGACACGTTACGCGTCTCGAAGTCCCAGCGGGCGCCCACAGCCCTCCCATGATGGGAATTCCATGGTACGGATGGTCCCTCAGCAGGTGGAAGCTCTTGTTCCCCGCCATCCATTCCCTCACGGCCGCAGCGCCTCGTTCCAGGAGCTTTGGTGAGAGAGTTTGGGAATTACATACATAAGAAAAACAATGCTTACATAAACTGAATATTGCGAAAACAACACAAAAATGGTTACACAGTCCATTAATAAAATATTGCTAGAAAGGGAAAGTAATTCACGCAAATTGTTTGTGAGAAATAAATATGATAACATACAAATAACACTAAAATATTACAGATGCTAATAAAAGAAACAAATCTGGTAACACACTTAACCTCTTCACCCTATTTGGCATTCATTCTTGCCTAGGGACAGAGCCAGAGAATTTTCTGGTAGGGGGCACAGGGGGTAACAACAATAAATCTGCGGGGGGGGGCTCACCCAAAAGTAACAAAAGTTAAGGCTACCCACTTCAATATCTATATTGTACAGTTACACATTGTTTATGTTTTCATCTTGCTTTTCTTGGCCACATTACATCTGCTGGGTGTACTTTTACCAAGTGGTAGGCTAACTAACACACAGAACATTATGATGTTTGCTGTAGTTAGTCAGAAGTTGGTGTTTCTGGGTCTGTACAGTGAATATCCAAATATAAGCTTTTAGGTGCCACATGTTCACCGAAAAATACCTAAGAACACCACGTTAATAGCTTTTTTTTCCTTTTCTTTCTGGGGGGGAGAAAAAAAAAAATATACATATAAACATATATGTATATATATAGGGGAATCACATTTTTCCTAGTGCCATTTTGTTATCTACAAATACCATGAATATTACTATAAAGGGAAAAAAAATATCACACGGTTATACATTGTTCATACACTACTAAAAGAAACAACCATGTTTACAAACTTCGAACTTACGATCGAATCTGAGTCTCGGACGAAGAACGCGGAGACCCTTTCGTCGCCAAGGGGCAGCGCTCTCCACACCATGTTGTGTATTGACGTCACATTTCCAAGCGAAGGCAAGTTGGTGACGTCACAGATGTACAAGTGAGGGAAATCGCGCAGGAGCGGGCAGAGGACATCTTCCCGGCCGCGAGGATTAGTGTAAAGCCACACAACCCAATCGGGGTACATGGCTTTTGTCTGGAAAAGTCAAAAAGGAGTTCTAGTGCATAACATCACAAAGGAAAACTGGCAACTCAACCCGGACTTTGGCAGCCTTGCTAATGTTACACACAGAAACACACACACACACACACACACACACATCATATATATAATATATATATATATATATATATATATGAGGGGAGAGGAATCATGCTTTTTCTTTCCATTACCATGCCAGGCAGTGTTCAATTCAAATATTATCATTGTCTCTTTTAACGCTTAAAATCTTATGTCTATAGACAATGATATTTGCAAAGGCATACTTTTCCCTAGTNAAAAGAAAAAAAGGTAAAAAGAAATGTTAAGCCATTGTTAAAAAAATAAAGTCTGGTGGTTAATGCATTTCAGTGTTCTGTTGGTATTATACCGTCGATAACAAAGGTACTAATTTATGATAAAAACACCTGATGCTCTTATGCAGGTGTTATGAGAATGCCATAAAAAGAGCGGTATGGTGTTGTGAAACTTTCTATCTGATGAAAAAAGACAATAACTTCTATTTGAAAATGATAGATGACATCACAAAAATGATGATGAATACGATTATGACATTGCATAACGGCTCATGCAGCAATTATCGACCTTATCGTCAGTGTCACAACATTTATTGCTATTACTATCACCATGGTAAAGATGAGTAATGATAATGATAACGACAGTTATGATGATAATAATGATCCTAACAATTACAATAACAATTGCAATGACACTAATGATAGTAATATTGATGATGATGATGGCGAAAGGGATGACGATGATGATGATAAAAGTAATAATGATCATGATGATAGTAATGATGCTAATGACGATAAGAATAAGAATAATAATTAGAATAACAGAAATGATAAGAATAACATGAATATTGATAGCAGCAGTGATATCAACAATGCAATTATGTACTATTATCTATCTATAGTATCTTTCATCTGTCTATAATGATGTATTGTTATTAGCAGCAGTAATAGCAGTTGATAGTATTAGTACTGGTAGTAGAAATAATGATAAAAAAACAATAATAATATAAAAAATATATTGCTTATATAAAACCACGAAGAAAAAATGTGTTCCCTTCGAGCGATCTCAAATCCTCTAAGTCAACCTCAGCCTCCTAATTAATTTCATTTTCTTCACGTAATTAAAATCTTTGGAGGAATTGCCATCAAAGTCCTCGGTTGGGCCATTCAAGTGTTTTTTTTTTTGTTTTTTTGTTTTTTTTTTTTCGTAATTACCGAACGTTCACAGAAATTTCTCTTTTGTTTTTCTTTTTTTACTGTATGTTGGTAGAGTGTCTGAGTGTACCTATTCACAGGTGTGCACATCATTGTTGTTAAAATCATCATCATAAGGAAGTGACTACGAGTACGGCAGAAAGGCCTCCAATCGGTGTTCTGCGCAGGCGTGGCGAAACGAACAAGTTGGCAGCGGCTTCGACACGAGAAGATATCACTCTCAATTGGGTTTGGTTACGTTCGTTTCGTAATTATTACCCGAAAATGACGTTCATATGCGCATGTGTATGTGTGTGACGTACCCGGAACCGCGAGAAATCGGAACGGCTGCCGTACGCGTAACATTGGCATTATTATGGTTATTATTGTTGTTGATAGTAATAGTAATATCATTGCTATTGTTATTGTTATCATAACTATTATTATCATCAGTAGTAGTATAGATAGCTGTACCAGTAGTAGTATCAATATCATTATTTATACTGTTAACATTATCATAACTTCTGTTGTTGTTATCATTGTTATAATCATCATTATCACCCTTAGTTTATTTATTGTTGTTTATGTTGGTGGTTTTGTTGCTCTCGCTTTCATTGCGTGGTTCTTCCTAGTATCATACAATTATTATGTCTGTGTGTGTGTGTGTTTGTGCACACAAGCTCTTGCCTACATGTGGGCGTATGTGTGTATACATGCAGAAATACATCCCCCCCCCTCCCTGTATACCCCCTCTCCCCCTATTGCCCTTTTTCCACCTCGATCACCCCCCACCCCCACCCCACCCCCCTTGCTACCCCTCACCTCCCCACGCAAATATTTCTCAATTCTTCCTTCTGTTCAAATTGCTCCTTCCCCTCCCCCCCCCCTACCACACCCCTCACCCCTGTCTTCTTCCTACCACCTCTTCTTCTTCTCCACCCCCCACCTTTTACCCCCTCCTTCCCCCCACCACATATGTTTCCCAATTCTTCCTTCTTAGATTGTCCCTTCCCGTCTCCCTCCCATCCTCTTCTTCCTCCTACACCTCTCCTCCTCCTCCCCTCCTCCCCGCTTCTCTCTTCCTCCCATCCCCTCTCCTCCCCTCCCCTCCTCCCCGTTTTCTCTCCTCCCCCCCTCTTTCTCCCTTCCTCCTACCCTCTCTCCTTATCCTCCCTCTCTTCTTCTTCCATACCCCCCCCCCCCCTCCTCCTGTCATCGTACGTCAGCTAACAACAGTCGAGCAATTTCCGGTTGGCTCCCCCACCCCCCACCCTCACATCTCCTCTACCTCTGCTTTTCTCTCTTTCTCCTTTTTCTATTCTCGTTCTCTCTCTTTCTCCTTTTCTATTCTCGGTCTCTCTCTCTTTCTCCTTTTTTATTCTCGGTTTCTCTCTCTTTCTCCTTTTCTATTCTCGTTCTCTCTCTCTATCTGCATTCGTTTCGGTCTCTCTATGTCTCTCTCTGCCTGTCTCTTTCTCTCTCTAAATTTAGCTCACTTTAGTTCTTTGTTTCTATCTTTCTGTTTCTCTGCCTCTCTATCTATCTATCTATTTATTCATCTATCTTTCGTTTTTTGTCTCTGTCACTGTCTATCAGTCTCTCTGTCTTACCCTTACTCTCTCTCTCCCAATATACATATACTCAAAAAATACATACATACATACATATATATATATATATATATATATATATATATATATATATATATATATATATATATATATATACATATTTGTGTATGTGTATGTGTGTGTGTTTATGTACACATATATGTATGTATGAAAGTGCGTATTTATGCGTGTACTTATATGTTTATGTATGTAGGTCCCCAGTCCTGTCTCTTTTCCTTCCCTCATAACAAATGGTCTTCTTCATCCCTCATTTTTAAGCAATCGTCGGCCCCCCCCCCCCCCCCTCCCCTCCTCTAAATTCTGCTCTCCCCTTCTCCCTCCTCATTATCGCCTCTCTCTCTCTCTCCTATCCCTCGCCTCCCCTCATTTTCCCCTCTCCTCTTGCTTCGCTTCCTCGCTAAGATAAGGCGCAAAACGATCGTAATTTTTTGTTAGTGGAGGCCCGCGCTTGTTGACAAGGGGGGAGGGGGAGTCTTCCTTGTCTGTGTCTCTTTCTTTCGTTCTTTCTTGTCTTTATTTTTTCTTCTTCTTCTTCTTCTTGTCTTTGTCTGTGCATTAGTTTGTTTGTGAAGCTGAATGACTGTCTTGACTCTCACTTTATCTCTCTCTCTCGGTCGCTCTCTCACTCTCTTTCTCTCTATCTATTTATCTATCTATCTTTCGCCGTCTGTCCCTCCCCTCCCTCCTTTTCCTCCTCCCGCCTCCCTCCCTCTAACTCTCTCTCTCTCTCTCTTCCCCTCCCTCTCTCTCTTCCTCCCTCCCTCTCTTTTTTAAATAATAAAAGACAACCTTAAATCAAATAAATAAGTAAAGAGGAGGGGAACTACAGAGGGGGAGTAGGGGGGAGGATGACACCCCTTCAAGCAACAGAAGCCAATTAAATCCTTTTCGCTAATCATAAGTGCCAGACTCTCGAAACGGACTTCGGGATCGAATCGAATCCTCCTTCTTTGTTCCCTTATACTCTTGAAGCGCAATATACCTGATGCTCTTTTGTTCCGTTGATTCTTAAAGGATTAGATCGAGGTTTGAAGCGATTATGGAAATTGCAAAGCCAAATTCTCAAGGAAAAAGATGATGATAATTGCATGCAAGATGGAAATGCAGATATTATATAAATGGATGAAATTATGATAATTCTTACTGATTACTATTTTAATTTAGCTCTGGGATGATTTTGCTTTTTTTTTTTTTTTTTTTTTGCAAGAGTAATAAGTTGCGTGTCAGAAAAGAAAACGAAATTATGATCACTTAAGTAAATAGATAGATAAATAAGTAGATAGTAATGATAATGATGATAGTGAATAGATTGGATAGATGATTTAAAACAGGATAGAAATAGACGTTATAAGTTGCCATTAAATTCCCTTTACTGTCTAAAAGTAGATAGATAAACAGATGAAATAAGGAGATAAAAACACTTCAGCCGAATCTTTTACAATTCGCAAGTAAACTGCTGCCCAAGTTGGGAACGTGTAAGTAAAGAAAGTTACTTACAATCACCCGCCCCTCACCCCTCCCTTCTACCCTCCCTCCCCCACCCCTCCCTCACACGCACCTTCCCCCTACCCTCCCACCCTTCCCCACCCTCACCCCTACGCCCACGTCCACCTTCTTTCTCCCTTACGCCCAAACCTCTCCCTCAACCCAACCCCTACACCTCCCCTCCCCCTCCCCCCATCCTTTCGCTCCTTGACCCCATCCCACTTGACTCCCCCCCCCCCAATTTCTTGACAGTGTCTTATGTCGACTAAGGACGTGGTAAACAGCTGTCAAGAGGCTGTCAAGGAGATAACGAGCATGTACTTTTTTTACTACTTATCTATTTATTTGTTATATCATCTCATTTGTTGCTTTTCTTTGTTTTTTGTTAATATCATCTTTTTGTTATTATGATTATTTTATGTTCACATTTTTTTCTCTCTCTATCTTTATCATGTTTCTCTTTATCAGTTATGTTCATATTCATTCATTCATGATAATAGACTTTATTTTATTATTATTATTTTATTATTATTCTGTCTATCTTTATCTTTTCGTCAGTCTCAATTGCACATTATTATCGTCATATGTTACACGTTGTAGTCAATAATTTTCAGTTCTTCAAATACAAAATATAATGCATTATCATTCA